GAGACCACCACCATATGGTTGGAATATTGCTGAGTGTGGCGTTAAACAACAACCAAACAACAACACTAACCTGCATAAAACTGTGCCCAATGCCCCCTTTGATATTAGACCACACCACTTCAGAATCATAAAGAAACTGGAGGTTGAAGCTCTGCTCTTTTTTACTCCCCAAACCACCCTGACTTAACATAAAGATGTCTGTGTCTTTGATCAAAACAAAATTGTCAAACTGTCATAAATGACCCATGACATGTAACAACACTAACCTGCATAAAACTGTGCAGAGTGCTCCGGCGTCATGAATCAAATGCCAAAAGAAAAAAGAAAATTTGCAAATGCATAGTGATATTTTCTAGCTGAAACAGTGAATGTATTTTGACTACTTTAATGAAGGGAAGAGAACAGAGTGAAACTTCATCAACTAACAAAATAGCTTACCTACACAACATCCAGCCAAAAACAGACACCTGCAGCTTGCAATCTGCCATCCTATCACAGCAGCCCACCATTAACCAGTGAACCATGGTCCCCTGTTAATTAACAATTCACAGACAAATTTGCACCCAATTATCTAAAAGTCACACTGCATAATAGATGAAACCTGATACAAAGATATTTTAATAATGTACAGTTCATGAACTGCTCACACCTGTAAACTTGGTTCCCTATTGATTTATTTTACCTGATACTGGGGAATGAAATATGCATGTCTCAACACACACGTAATCAGCAGAAGATCGGACAGGTCATAAATAAACTATGACGCTGCTACATAAACAAAGCGTATACCCTCTTAATTAAACCGAGAATTTCTAACACTTACTTGGATCAGATTCATTTTTCTGATTTTTTCCTTATCAGAACTTCATCAATGACATGTCTTTCATCACATTTTTTACTCTCCACTACACCTTATATCCCACCCCAACACACAAATTGGAATGAAAACATACACAAGAATGAATAAAACATGAATAATAAATATAAGGAGTAAATATATTATTTAGAGTTATAAAAACTCAAAAAAATAATGCAATGATATTTAATTTAATAACTTCTCATTTTGCTGGTCGCAGTATTATCACAACATATTACATAATGACAGTGACAACATAACAAAAAAGTAAATCACAGCTTAACAATACTGTTTAAAGTATCCAAATTATACCAGCCGAAACAAGATAAAGAATACCTATTTTTTCAAATGACAATAACAGACTTTCAGTTATAAAAAAATCTATTATCTCCTTAACTAATATTGAGTAGTATAAAATTCACAAAGAGTACTGAGTAAACTCCAATGGGATATGTTAGTTTGTGCAGATGATTTCCTTATTCAAATATCTCAACCTGACAAACCCTAATTATGTATGATTATATATAAGCTGCATGTTTTCAGTTAACTTCAAACAAATTAGTAAAATTTTCTGCTGTCATATCTCACAAAATCCGTATCTTTGACAATCTAAAACATTTTCAAAACAGGACAAAACTGTTCCCTGATCATGATAAACAGAGAACACCATACATACAAAAAATATTTGTTCAAAGCTCATCACGTCAACAAACAAATATAATATTTTTTACATTAAAATACACCTTTCTGAAACCTATCGGAGACAATCTTGAAAATGGACTTATTGACTCAAGCGGACAAAGAACAAACTAATCCAAATAAGGCTGTGAGTTTTGTTCGTCAGTGTTAACCAAGTCAATACCAGCCAATTATGATGAAATGTCACACCAAAATTGATTCTGCCCAGTGTGAATGACGAAAACAAGCTCCATATTGATGGAAATTGAGAAGCCTTTGTGCGGCAAAGTGGGCTATCAGTCACACGAAATGTGCAAGCATTTCTCCAAAGAGACGACTACAGTTACTTGGGAAAAGGTGTAGTGTCTCACGGTGATGAGCGAACCCTTGTCTAATCGATGTTAGTTTTGTGTGTGCTTTAAGATGATGTCAGTCTTTCACACAAAGTCATGATACTGCAATTAAACATGACTGAAATTGTTGCAAGAATATCAATATTTCTTTTCAAATTCCTCCTGTGACATCTGTTTAATTTAGCAAACAAAATTGGTGACAAAAGAAAATGGAAAGGTTCATTTACCATTCATAGACTATTGAACTTGTAAATAGTGTGTACTTTACATTTGACTTGGAGACCTGAATAATAAAATTATCGAAATTAAACAGAAAAAATGACAGTCCTCTGTAGTAATAATAGGGTATAGTGTACTTGATTTTAGGATGTCTTGTCAAGATTTTGGTAGAATGAATAATATTTTGCAATATATATATATATATTTCCTGAATTCATTCTATCATGTTCTATATATTCATTGATTGAATGCATATTTCTGCAACACATAAATCCCAGAATAAACCAGGGATTTGAATAAAGACTGTTACAAGACTCCTCTCATTTTGTATGTCAGGTAGATTGGTGTAATATCCATAATTGGTATGTTTGCTTGATGAAGGTACAAGCACCTGCACTGAAATAAAAACGAACCTGAAGTCTGCAAGTGAACTCTGTCTTCAAAGATACATATAAATACAAGGTTTTCTACAAACATATCCATGGACATTAGAAATGTTGAGTAAACATACACCCCAGTTTTTTATCAACATTTTCTTTCAACCTGAAAACCGTGGTGTTTCAACTTATCTGTGAGTGTTTCAATTGCAGATAATGGGCAATGTGAACAAACAAAACCATTCTTAAAAGTTTTGGTCGGTAAGCATGAAACGAATATAATATATAGTAAAAATATGAAGGGTCAGACATTATTGCCTTAGAAGTCACTTTAACGCTTTAAATATATTCTACTCAAAGACGTTCAAAAACATCGTTTTTCTTCATATAACTTATAAACAGATTAACATCAGCCATGTGAACAAACTGTGTGCTCCTCACACCTGTTTTTTTTACAATGATTATAGTTCATCTGTCAAAATTACACATCAAATATAGTCAAATATTATCATAGGTGTTCTTTATTCTTTTGAGTAGTATCTATGTCATTAAAAGCAAAAAATACCAATATATATATATATATGATAGCTTCTGATACTGGCCTATTTAATTCAAAGTGAAATTTATGGGTCACTAACCACTCTCCGTGACAGTAATAACCACACATTCAATACCTTGTCCTGCCCATCCTACAAAGATAATCAGTTTGGAGGCAAATTGACCATCCCAAAACATCCAGAATGAAAACCTCTATATTCAAGCTGACAGAATAATTCCACTATCATATCATATTCATATATTCATGCATTGTTTTAACTTTTGAAATAAGAGAAATAATTCAGTTTGGAAAGACCTTTTCCACAAAAATAATTAACTCAAGACTCAACAAATCACGTAAAATATCCTGATCCAACACAGCCTCAAGCCCCAAATTCTCTTCACATTTAACCAAAATTAACACATCTATTTCAGTTCAACACTCCACAGGAAATGTTTGGGTAAAATTTAGATACAGCAAAGAATGTTTTGGCCACATCTCAACACTACAACACCTTGCTATCCTGACTGGATACAGACATGAAAGACAATGGCTTTTGCATGGGAATTTAACACCCTTGAGGCAGGCTTTCATCTTCAGAGGTATTGTGAAGGGGGGTTAAATAAACTCGTGATCACACTTTGACACAGTAATCTCCTTGCAGCCTCTATGCCAGAGCCTGAGGATGTTTGTACCTTCACATGACTATCTGGTATTACTTTGGAGGATCTAAACCTGACAGGGCGTATGTGGTGAGACAAATCGTGGAGGGATATTCCATCATAGTTAATACCTTTTAGTGATTTGACTGTAGTGAGAATGCAGCTTTCCTACGTCCCCAAGCAATCAAATGTCAGTCTTTAGTTATAGGGCTCTTATTCCCAGGCTATAAATCCATTGATATTGTTACTGTGAGTAGTTAAACAGGGCCTTGATCATGTTTATTTGCCCACCTAGCTAATGTAACACTGGACTAATGGGACAAGACGAAACATGAAGAAACAGGTCCTTATCATGATCGTAAATATAACACTTCTTCAGGATCTCATCAAAACTCACACATATACTACCCATAAGAGGTTAAAGCGCACCTGATCACTGATTCTGCCAACTATAGTAATATGAAAGTATCCTTAACTTCTTTTGAGCAATATATGCGACAATTATGAAAAATGTTTTCAATCACAAAACATGATTATTCTATTCCAAAGAATATTTTGCTTTTAACATAATGCTTTAAAACAAAATAGCATTTAAATAGTTCATTAAAAATGTTGGATTTAATTGAATGTAATGATGAAACAAAAAGTAATATGTAGAGTGATGGCAAAAGTAATCGAAAAAGCAAAATGTTTAGACAGTTATACTACGTACGTCATATAAAGGCACCACGCAGCAAACACGATTAACGTATCAAACCAGAGACCATATATAACAAGATTATGGTCGCTGGTCAAACATACCCACTATCACAATACATGTCTATTCTAAAGAAATGATTTATCAATCTGAGCAAAAAACCATCAAAGCAGTTTCCAAACTAAGAGACAAAAACATCTCCAGGTGTTTCTGATACACAATACCCGAACCAACAAATCACTGGCGGGGCGAGCGTAAAGATTCTACCTATAAAGTGTACTGGACATATCATATAAACAACATCAAACTTCATTACGGATTTATCAAACGGGTAAACTGAAACATTAAGTGACATTTAACAAGAATTTCTAATAGAATGTGTTATTTTGACACAGAGAAGAAATTCTGTAAGTAGCGTTGTTGTCAGTCCGCATATAGCCGTTCCCATTGAGAGCTCGTTCACCTGAGTTATAGAGCCTTACAACTCGTGTGTGGAGTGGCTCGCTTTGGAATTGCAGCGTCCTGTCGCGAGTAGCAGACAGGACGCGTTTGTAAAATCCACAAATCGTCCTGGCATGAAATAAATACGAACTTATCAAATTAGAAAATCCATCACTCACCTCGCTATCATTTCGTTGTAAAGTAAATCCAATTAATAAATTCACAACATCACGTACTCCAAGCGATCATTCAAACATGCATATTCTCACCGCCATTGCGCCGTGAAGTCACGTGACTATGCCAAAATGACGTCACGGAAAGCGTTCCCAAGCCCCCCACAACTTGGGACAATATTTCTCATGTGTGATTTAGACTTTTTTTCCAAGGGAAATGGTTTCAATCGATTCACATGAAATCAAAACAACCCTTGAATATGAATATTACAACCAGCTCGATGTTAGTGGGAAAGACTGACATCCCTTTCGCCACCCGTCTATGTGTGTTTATTGAATATCGCACGCAAAGCCAAACAAGGTCTTACATTGTTTGACTTATGCTTGGACCTATTCATTTCAACATATGCCATGACGCAGGTACTTAATTTACTAGGGTTGACTTTAACATGCTGATTTTGTCCCGTCAATATAATCAATGTAGGTTATTGCGGCCGGCGCACATAAGAAACACGAGCAGCCTGACCTTATCAGCTGTGCGTTTCGAATGTGTTATGAAGCACATTATGAAATCATTGCAATCGACAAATAAGGGCAGGGTTATTCAAGTTTCGACGTTATTCAATCACTATTTATAATAATAACGATCAATTTATATTGTATGCATATACTGAATTTTGTTTTTAAACTATATGAGTGGTGTAAACACCATGACGTTTTACTCTATAGATGTTTAACTGTTTGATCGACATTCTAGAAGTCGGGGAGTCAGTAATGATGCACACATCTTTATGGATAACAACTTTTCCGTTTATTGCACAGAGCGACGTTTCGGTATACATTGAATTCTAACATCGTTTCCTCTGGACTTTTTCTTGTTTTCTGACAACATTTGTATCTGTAGAATAAATACAATAATTACATTAACATGATATTATTTTGTTTGTGTTTATTTATTTTTTTAAATTATCGATTAGAAATTGTTTAGAAACGAGTGAGGAAAAATACCCACAATTAATCATCACATCAATCTTACATTACTAATCACCAAATTCATGATAACAATATATCATTAGAAGTTGTCTTGAAACGATCGAGGGGAAAATAAGTCAATTAATCAAGATCATATCAATTTCACGTTACTAATCACTAAATTCAATATAACAATATAGCAGATTGTACGATTGATATGTTATTATTGGAAGCGCTCATAAAAGATTAACCACCTTCATCAACCATAATGGCAATATCACGCGGTACAACAACAAGAGCCTATTCATGTCAGATTTGTCTTTTGACCTGCGATTGGTGCCGATATGAAACCATATAATCAATATGTAGAATGGATCATTCTAGCCATTGTTGTCCCGTGGGCCCGGGCGCCGTACCTTGCACGGCCAGGGTGGGGGGCTTTGGTCTATTCAGGTGAAAATCAATTTATTTCCGGCTTATATGCCCCTGCATTTGTTGTGTTGTGGTATTTGCGGGATCTCAGGTTCACGGCACTGGTGCTTTCACAGTTGGAATGATTGAATTTTAGGCACACTGGAAAAGAAAGATATTTCTTATTGTGTATATGCATTTATGCCTTGTTATTATTATTACGGATAAAGTGGTCAGTATGGGTTGCACTTAAAGGTTTATAATGTAAGGCTCTTACAGGTGCTGTATGAAACAGTCATGTATAAATTACGCTCAGTTGTGTATTGTGGTATGTGTGACCTGACTTATGGTTGGATGTTATTATAACCAGATTGTGGAAAATGTCACGTGTTTTTTTTTTAAATTTTCATTTCAGACCCTCGGTGTTGTTTGACATTATCTGAATAATTAATTCAAGGTTATGTTCCAAATATGTAAGTTCGGTATCATCAAACTAGAAGCAGCCTAACTGCTGACCAACACAATTGCGTTTGTGAGTGTGTGCTTGTGTGTGATATGTTTCTGGGAAAACAGTTTCTGGTTTGTCAAGTGCAGATATTTGTCATATTGCTGCCGGTTTTCAACATTAACATTAAACAAATTAAAAAATCAAACCACATGACTTTTCCAAATCATATATACAATCCTCATGACATTATAATGATACAGTTGAATCAAGGTCGACAGCGATATCCGTCGGTTCTGGTGCAAAGAAACAACAGGTTTGTGAGAACATCGATCATATATTCAGTTACGGCGACACCGGCAGCCATGTTACTCGAATGGTCACAAACATCTCTGTTCAGACATTGTATCCACTCGATACACTCAGCTCCTCCTACGGTGATTGGGTGCTGGGGCTGCACTGTCGCGGAACCAGGACGTCGTAGATGATGGCGGGACAGCGCCTGGTGGTGGGTGTTGCAGACACAGATGGAGTAGGATTGTGTTTGATGCGGACATGTGTTGATACCGATATTGAAGTTACCTGTGTTTGACTCCAGGGTGCATGTGCCACATGCACACTAGTGCTGGGAATTGGTTAAAATCTCATAATTGATGATTGGTTCATTACAACCGATCAATCATCGAAAATAATTGGTTAGCGCCATTTGTGAAATTTTCCTGATTAGTTTTGTTAATGGACAAAAAAAATAAAGAAAAAAACATGTAGTTCTTTGGTGTTTTTGCAAATTGCACAAAACCCATTTGCAAAATTCACATCTTTAAAGCATGACTAGTATGTTAGGAACATAAATTTCTTGGAGTCTTGAAGATAAATTCAATCATGACTTGGAACGAGCTTGTAGTGGTCATGAAATGTAACAGACAAAACCAACCTTGTGAAAAATATTGTTAATGCAAACAAGTGTTCCAAAATTGTTTGTGATCGATTATGAGAAAACACGATCGATTGTTTGGGATCGATTATGAGAAAACACGATCGATTGCGTGTGACCAATCTTCGATTATTTCAATTAATAAGAGCACCACTAATGCACACCTAGGTTAGAAGTGGGTAATATCAATCAATATTTTAATACTTATGACTGACGTCCATGTCTGCAGAAAAAGGACAATGTCAACATGTCTCCTGTATTACTCGCCCGGGGAGGTGGGGTAGCCTAGTGGTTATAACGTTCGCCCGTCGCGTCGAAGGTCTTGGTTCGATCCCCACATAGGTACAATGTGTGAAGCCCGTTTCCGGTGTCCCCCGCCGTGATATTGCTGTAATATTACCAAAAGCGGCGTAAAACCCAACTCACTCACTCATTATTCGCCCCAACGACAAGAGATTAGGGATCTATTGTACTTATGTGGTTAAGTACAGTCTGCTTGCAGCTGAAGTGTATCTCTAATCTACAACAATATAGGTTTGTCATACAGGATCACCGGTACGTTTTCAACTAACACCCACGTATTACATTGTCTATGTAATTTAATATTGGTCTGTTCTAAACATACGAGCTAAAACAGAAACATAATTAATCACAACACGTATGGATCAACGTCTTTGTTTCAGCTGGCAGTAGATTCCAATATCGTGATCAAAGTGAAATCGTAAGCAGTAGGATTGCTTCAAGCACCATGGATTCCGTCCATAAACTGCCATGACTCTATACCTGAGATCCGAGAATATCAAATATCGATAGCTGGGTTATGTAGTACAACATGTAACACATTGACATCTAAAAACATATTTTTAAGATTGTATATGAATAGTATGTACGTATAGCTGTCAAGAATACGTCGATATTTAAGACAAGACGAGTGGGGGCTAAGTGATGTGTAAATATATCCATCGCTGTATCTCGTGAGGACGCTCAATAAAATCCCTTTATACAAAGCTTCTAAAGCTAACCCTCATATCTCCGCCGTTTCGAACTGTCCCGTTTTTATGCGCGGTACAGTCCTCTCTTTTCTCACAATGTGTATGAAATTACCACTTGTTGTAATACCACGTTGCATGTGACGACTTTAGGATCATATTTCGGGTATTATCAATAAACACCCTGATTACGTTATCCTGATACACTTGAACGTCCCTGAATATAAATAGGTTTAAGTGTGGTGCAGCTGGTTCTTGGTGTACTCAATAAGATAAACATAAAGGTAGTCATCGACCATTCATTCAAAACGCTGCTTATCCTTCAACGATGCTTATCGTGACATTTCGTGCTATTTTCACAGCCCCGCTTGTATGCCTTACTTGCATATAAATGTGTGAGTGAGTAATTTGGGTTTTACGCCGCTTTTAGAAATATTCCGGCGGGGGACACCAGAAATTGGTTTCACACATTGTGCCCTTGTGAGGATTCGAACCCGGGTCTTCAGCGTGACGAGCAAACGCCTTAACCACTAGGCTACCCCACCGCCCCTACATGTACTTACATATTAGTTCCACTGGTGGTCATGCACAGGCATGATTTAATTTTGACGTTTTGGGTTTAGGTCATATGTTTGTTTATTTGATTATATCAGCTGATAACAGCGTGACATTCATTTGCATTTTTAGTTGGATTTTTTTCGTGTTCCACATATAAATACATGATCGATGGACGCGTTCAGTTCCAAGACGGGTAAATTCCAAGGTCACTGGTAAATCATTCCAGACTGTATTCTTCCGCAGCTTATGAGTGAGTGAGTGAGTTTAGTTTTACGCAGCACTCAGCAATATTCCAGCTATATGGCGGCGGTCTGTAAATAATCGAGTCTGGACCAGACAATCCAATGATCAACGGCACGAGCATCGATCTGCGGAATCGGGAACGATGACAAGTGTCAACCAAGTCAGCGAGCCTGACCACCCGATCCCGTTAGTCGCCATTTACGACAAGCATAGTCGCCTTTTTGTGGCAAGCATGGGTTGCTGAAGACCTATTCTACCCCGGATCTTCACGGGTCCCGCAGCTTATGAGGCGGAAGAGTAGCCTAGTAGTTAAAACGTTCGCTCATCGCGCCGAATACCTGGGTTCGATTCTCCGCATGGGTACCATGTTTGAAGACCATTTCTGGTGTTCCCTGCTGTGATATTGCTGGAATATTGCTGAAAACGGCATAAAACTAAACTTTCTCACTCTTCTGCCGCTTACGGGACGGGGCAATTGGTGACGAAGAAGTACGACTGGTGACGAAAATGTACCATTTTATAGTGGTACACGAAATCCATTAAAACACGCGGACCCCACACTTTCTGGGC